TGCTCATAAATACCTGTAGAGCACCTGTCATTAAGCAGGGGACCCTGGCAGCTTGTCCCCTTTCTGGAACCTGTGCTCTAGAAAGGAGAGTGGCTGGGGACGGAGTGAACCTCTTAGTTGGTGTAGTGTGTCTCCATGGGTGTGGGTGGGAGTGTAGAGGACCTTGGGAGAAGGGACCATCAGAGGACAGAGTTCTCAGAAAGGCCGAGATGGAAGTATCAGCTAACTACTCCCGTTACAGAGGAGGAAAGTGAACTCCAGAAATAAATCCTGGCTCTTCGGCATCTCGTGCACTGTTCTTTTCCCCTGCTCCAGGTAGTGTGTGTGTGTGTGTGTGTGTGTGTGTGTGTGTGTGTGTGTGTGTGTGTGTGTGTATCTGAGACAAGTTCATTCACCTCTACCTCCATCTGTAATCCAAGCTGGCTGTGATGTCGGCATGAATTAAGATGTTTATAGAAATGAAAAAAAAAAAAAGCAGCTTGGGGGAAGAAGTTAATCTCTGTGTGGGGGTGAGGGGGTCTGGTTTCACAAGGTTAATGTCTTGATTTTTATTAATCCCTTTTCTGTTTTATTCAAAGAGGATTTGGTGTTCCTAGTTCCAGCTGGGAGCTTAAGAAACAGAGCAATGATTCTCGGCCTGCTGCCTACCCCTGCAGCTTTCCAGCGAGCTCACTTGCAGACCTGAGGACGGGGATGCCCGGAATCTGGCTCAGGTCAGCTCCATGCCACAGTTCCCTTTCTGTCTTGCTGTTGGAAAGATAACTGACCTGTCTCAAGAGACAAAGGGCTTAGACCCCGGTGGCAAGACAGGGTTGGTAAGGGAAATCTTTAGGGGGACCTGTCCCGGTAGCTGAGAGACAACCACAACCTTTTATGGGGACCCTGGGGTGTACAGAGAGAAGAGACGCCACAGAGTATTGTGAGGACGGTGCCATAGTACTCAGCCACTCCCATCTGCTGGTCTGAGTAAGCTACCTTTCCTCTGTGGAGAAGTAAGTCTGCAGGTTTCCGTCAATCCCATTGGCAAACTGACAGGTGCCTTGCTGTGGCCATTTGTCTGCCCGAATCAACCACTGGAGGTCAGCTACCTTTTGCAGTCCCACTGCCTTAAACCTACAGGCTCCTTTATCCCCCAAATGCCAGGTGATAACCCCCCTATGAAGATGTTGAACTTCTTCGCAGGGCACTGGGAGAATCGATGGAGCCCCAATCCACGGTAATAAAAAGACCAGAAATCGTGACTCCAACAAAGACGGGTGCTCCAGCTTCTCCAGACTGCCAAAGTCAACACAGGTCTCGGCTCTAACCGGGCACTCTGGCCATCATGGGGACCCTTTTCTCTGCCATGCAAAGGTTTTTCTTTCTGGAAAACAACAGTGAGACCCGAGCTCAATGAAATCCACATGCCGAGATATTAACCCAGCCTTGGCCCCGGGCCTCTCTAGACCTCTGTTTCTTCATCATTTTCTAGGGAAGCCTTCGGATCAGCTCTGCTTCACCACACACCTCCACTCACCACTCATAATAGAGTCTAAACTTCTCCGGCTCAGGCCTTCCACAGCCTACCACTCCCGGACAGACCCAAGGAGACCCTCTCCCAACCAGATCTCCTCAGCCTCGGGTTAGCTTCCCTTTTGGGCTATGGGGTTGGATTGGTTTTTGGTTTTCAGCTCTTATCCAAGTAGAGAGCAGAGGCCGGAGTCGGTGGCTTCCTTGTCTTATTCTCTGTGGAAGGATTCCCCTTTTGGAAGCTGAGGCAGAGGGAGGACTCAGAGCACCTTGCAGAACCAAGAACTCATACCCATTAGCCTCCTGCTGACTTCTTGGGTCTTCTCTGGAGAACCAGGGCCATGTACTCTGGACAGGAGGTCTGTTGACGCTTGCCTTACCATGCATTGATTAACAGACCAAGAGGCACAGGGCCTGGTATTAGGAGCAGAGAAGGACCATGGGGCCAGTTGGGTAACTTCCATCTAAGCCTCGGGGCTGAGGCTCAGTCCCTTCCCTGAGGTAGTGGCAGGCCATCATCAGACACCCATGGGCGTCTGGCAGCCGCTTTCCCGCTTGTCCCTTCAGATCCGGCCAGTTACAGCGCATTCCTTTGGCTCACATTGTTCCTTAACGACATCACTTTTTCCATCTCCCTGATGGTGTTGTGCCCTTCTGCCTGAGCGCTGCCTCCCAGCTGACCTCCATCTCCCTGACACGCTGTGGTTTCCATGGCTCACTGGACCACACCATCGCTGGACAAGAACTATGCAACTCATGGCCTGGATCTTCCACCCCCCCCCACCTCGTGCCTCCCTCCCACCCCGTGGCAACCTTGGCCCCTATGGGTGGCATGGTCCCATCCCCTTCAGGTCACCGAGGGCCCTGGATACACCGCTCTTTCTCCAGGCACCCGCTCAAAGCCCCAACAATATCCTTTGGCTTGTGTACAGACACAGAGACCTTCTGAGTCCCTGCCTGGGCTGGGTGCCCGAACACTGAGCCAGGAGAGCTCTGCTTCCCTCTCTCGTCTCTACTTTCAATGGGTCTAGAGCTCTCGTCTCTGATCGTCTTCTCTCCAAGCCCCCTATGTGAGCTGGAGTCACCAGGCCTTACTCCCATCTCGAACCTGTTTCCCACCTGGAGTTGAGCATCTGTCCACCCATGGTAAATCCAGATGCTAAGTCTCCGGACCCGCCCGGCGCCTTCCATTCAGAGCTCCTCATTCATTCATGTGACAGCATTTTTCTGAGCTCTAGCTGTATGCCAGCCCAGCGTTAACAGCACCTTCTGTTCTGATTCCCCTGTCGTTGCCTGGCTCTGCCCTCAGTCATTTTCTAGTGAGGGAGCATGGCCGAGAAGGAAAAAGCAGGAGCCAGACTCATCAAGGATTGAATCCTGGTTCCCTGTAAGAACTAAGAAGTTGCTCCAGGAGGAGCCTCTGTTTCCTCCTTTACAGAGCACGGGGGGGGGGGGGGGGGGGGGGGG